TCCACGAAACGTGTAATTAATTATTCAAAATGACCTCGTGTATACCGCTTGTCACCGAGGCTGGCCTTAGATTATTAGTTAATCTGAACAAATATCATACGAGAAAGTAGTTCATTAAAAATCTGAACAAATATGATACGAGAAAGTAGCTGAGGGATCGCTGAACATTCTTTTATAATAAAAGTGCATGAATTGTGTTTAGAAAATGTGTTATTAATTATTTCAAATTATCTCATGCGTACTATGTATTCCGCCGACTTCGTGCTGGATATTAATTAATAACTAATTATTTACAATAAAAATGTGAACATACGTGATATGAGAAAGTAGCTAGGGAGTCACTGAACATTCTTTAACCTTAAAAATTCATAGATTGTGCTTAGAAAGTGAATAATTAACGATTTTGCATACTCATTATTGTGTATATTCCTCCTGCGCGCCGCCCACGCATGCCACGGAGGAATAATCACCGAAAAACCATATCCCCGTAGATTTTAATGCAAAATTGAATTTTCCCGCGCTTATATTCTTGACTTTTCAACTTTTTCGTCCACGTATTTCTCTTGCACCACTCAACCAATTCAACCGGATGGCACGGTTGACTATTTTTGCTTTAGCGCGAAACTCGCTCGCTCAGCATCGTTAGGTTAGGCTCGGAGCGCCTCAATCAAACAGACCTAGTATATTAATATTTAACCATCGAAAATCAGCACGGGACCCATCAGCGGATCAGGACTAAATCTCAGGTATAAGCGTTATTCATCTAGCACGCGATATCGAGTGATAAATTATGGGACGAATTTTCTCATGTTTTCAAATGTGTCCCATAGGCAATTGATCTCCGTCGCAGGTGTTTCCGTCCTTCACATTGGATTCGTGCGAAGACTCCTCTAATTCCCAGTGCACTTCGTCATCAAATTTCTGCTCCTCGCTTATGGAACCGCAAACCGACATACGCATAAATAAACCTACAAAAAAAATATTTTGTTATAACTTCAATAAAAATTTTATTGAATGTCAGTAAAAATAATACCTGTAATTAATCCTGAGACGATAGAGATGCCCAGAGTGATAGCTAGTGCTAACAATTGGTACGCTGCCTGTTGTCCAGCAGTTCTGTCTTGTCCAGTCTTTAACGCGCCATTGTTGTCTCTCATTTCCGCCAGCTTCGATTCCGAGCTTGGCGCTCGTGCACGGAAGATCTAGAAGGTAAAATTAATTAATAAATATAGGAAATAGGCGGTGAGATAAAGTAATAATACTCAAATAATATTTCAACAGAAACTTTAATTATACTTCTGAAGCTTAGAAAGGTACGTCTTTACTCTTCAACGAAAACCAAGAGAATAAGAAAACTCGTAGAAGGAAAAATCCGATACGAGTCTATAGACCCTATGGGTCCTATGGTGACAAACAAACATGTGCAACCTCTTGAGTCGAAACTCCAACGTTAGTGAAAGTTTACGACCCGATGATTTTTGCTGAAGGCAACACTTATTGTGGTGAATAAATCCAAGAATAAATATTGTTCGCGTAATTATGTATCTAATGAATTATTACTGTGAAATCAGGTAGTAATTATTATTATGAAATCAATTAATGTGAAGTGAATTTATGTACCTCGTAAAGGGAATAATCATAAGACGCTTCCGTGGCTAAGCCCGCCATCAAAGCACCGAATAAACCTCCGAGAACGCCGGGCATCCCGTGGAGATTATGGACGCCACACGTGTCGTGGATTCGCAGACGCTTTTGTATCAGTGGCTGGAATTTATGGAGTTAATTTACAAATTTAATTGCGATTTAATTGTAAAATTTATGTTATGGAACATTTAACCTTTGTAGTACACAGAAATTAATTTATTTAAAAAGTCATAAGACTGTAGCTTTCTGGACACTGAAACTTTGTGTTAATAAATGTTTTGTAATAGAATTTTGGAGTTTTATTTTTGATTGAAATATGGTAGTGTTGAAAAGAGTTAATTGTTATTTGATATTTAATCTTTGTAGTACACAGAAATTAACTTATTTAATAAGTCATAAGACTGCAGTTTTCTGGACACTGAAACTTTGTGTTAATAAATGTTTTGTAATAGAATTTTGGAGTTTTATTTTTGATTGAAATATGGCAGTGTTGAAAAGAGTTAATTGTTATTTGATATTTAACCTTTGTGGTACACAGAAATTAATTTATTTAATAAGTCATAAGACTGTAGCTTTCTGGACACTGAAACTTTGTGTTAATAAATGTATTGTAATAGAATTTTGAAGTTTTATTTTTGATTGAAATATGGTAGTGTTAAAAAGTATTAATGTAGTCTGTAAAAGAGATATGAATAATAGTTCACTGTAAATTAATTAAATTATTAAATTGGAAGTATTTGGAAGTGTTTACTCTTGTGGGTCCTTTTTTGAGTTTGAATTTTCGCGCGCAATGTGCGGACGGTACCTGTAGCGTCATCTAGCGGTTAACTGTTAAAGAAAATTGTATTTATCTTTAAAATTAATGATTTTTACGCTTTTCTGAGTCGAGTGAAGTACTCTACGATGTTAATAGAATTGAAATAATTTCATTATAATGAGTAGAAAGCGCTGGAATCGAAAATAAAAATTATTGCAATTTATGGACGATAAAATGTCTAGCCATCTAGCGGTGGAAAGTGTGAACTAATGGAACTAAATTTGAAACACTTTACCATTCGAAATATTATCCTTCCCAATCTAATAAACAATAAAATGATAAACTTAGTGATATTAAAACTCCTCAAAATTATTTTCAAGCGTAAATAATTCAAAAATATAAATTTGTAAAAAAGTTTCAAATTCCACCGACGCCATCTAGCGATGAAACAACGAACTACGTTTGAACACCACCTGTCGGTAACAGTTACCGACATTTTAAGTAGTAACTCAAAGTTACCGACCGAATTTACTACAAGTTTCAGCACTTTTCTCGCAGATGGCGCCACGAGTAAAATTCTCAATGTCCGAACACGCCTAAAATAAAAAAAAATTAATAAACTATTTCCACACAATTATGCAATACATAAACGCAATATACGTGTGCATAGTCATTGAAGAGGAAACTGGAATAATAGAACAATGTTTCAGTTTTGATACGCAATGGAGCGATTCTAATAACTCTGTCATAATTATATTCCGAAATTTACTGACATAATACCGTAATAATTACGTTATGATAACACTGTTATATTATTTGCACGGTACACCCGGAGATGATTAAACAGACGTTATTTATATTATCGGGAACGGAAACAATCTGACATTCATTGGACGGCTCCCTTTGTTCTGCATTCTCCTCTTTCCCTCTTTTTTTCATTGATATTTAGAAACCGAGCCATTTCGTTCCACGCGTTTTGTTTCCAGTTGAAATCCATCGTGTACGTCGACGAAACAATTTACTAATTTGTTTCTTCCATCAGTTGGAAGTTTCTCTTTTTTGTTATTTAACATTACTACGCTTTGAGTATGTTCCATATCGGAAATTCTTTCGGAACGTGTCTACAGATTAATCGAACAGAAAATTAACGGTAGAATGAAAATACCATTAGTACTTTTACTCATCGAAGTCGGAGATCTAAAACAATCACAGTATAGGACGGATTTCAAATTCCTATAGTTTCAAATTCTGTAAAGTAATATTTTATAAAACAGTCAAACTTGTAAGAGAGAATATGGAGAAATATTTAAACAATTTTTTCAGTCATGTAATATAGAAATGTATCGATATTAATTTGATTCGTGGCCTGATGAAAGTTCTCCAAAGAAACGCCGAGAATAAAGTACATAAAGAATATTGAATTACCGACGGTGAGTCGCGAACGAATCACGGATAATTAGAAGAAGTTCCAAGACAGTTCTCCGCGATGATTATCCGTCTTTCCGCGATCTCGCTGTGTCAATACTTCCGGTATCGAGAAATGGTGACTCAAGAAACTTTCGAGCAGATTTTAAACGTTGTCACGCTAAATTTACCACGAGAAGAATCTCTCCTTATAAATCTAATTTGTTAATTCGATAATTCACTCTGTCCGTTATATCATTTCTAACGAAATTACTTTAAAAATTTCTTATAAAATTACTTGTAAAACAAGCCATAAAAATAGAGAAAAATGTGAAGTGTATCATGTGTAACGAAATTTGTATCAAAGAGCAAATTTGAATATTCGTTAATTCGATAATTCGGTCTGTTTGCTATATCCACCTTTAACCAAATTTCTTATAAAATTGCATGTAAAATTGGTCATAAAATTAGTGGAAAATGTGAAGATTATCATATATAGGGTGTTTGACAATTAGTGTAGGTCCCTGAAATGTAGCTGACATGATTCTGAATAAGATTTCTCTTTGCAAAAATGGGGTACGAAGCTCCGTTTTTGAATTATTAAGGAAAAACGCGGACCAATCGCGCGAGAATTGCGCATGCGCAGATGCGAGAGCGACAGCTTCCAACCTAGCGACGCATGCGCAGACGCGAGAGCGACAGCTTCCAACCTAGCGGCGCATGCGCAGACGCGAGAGCGACGCGAGAGCAGCGCTGCAGTATGCACGGTAAATGCAATGTATAGTATATTCAACGCTTGGTGAGTGCAACGCGTAAGAAATCAATGCATCCTGAATGTAACGCGTGGTAAATACAAGGCGTGGCAAGTACTATGCGTGGTAGGTGCAGCACGTGGTAAGCAACGCGTGATAAATTCAATGCGCGGTAAATACAACGCGTGGTAAATATAATGCGTGGTCAATACAACGCGTGGTAGGTGTAGCACGTGGTAAGCAACGTGTGGTAAATTCAATGCGTGGTAAATACAACGCGTGGTAAATACAATGCGTGGTAAATACAACGCGTGGTAAATATAACGCTTGGTAGGTGCAGCACGTGGTAAGCAACGCGTGGTAAGTGCAGCACGTGGTAAATACAACGCGTAGTAAGTGCAGTACGTGGTAAAGAACGCGTGGTAAATACAGTGCGTGGTAAATACAACGCGTGGTAAGTACTACGCGCTCAGCCGCTAGCTCGAAGCTGTCGCTCTCGCGTCTGCGCATGCGTAATCCTCGCGCTCTGATTGGTCCGCGTTTTTCTTTAATAATTCAAAAACGAAGCTTCAAACCCCATTTTTGCAAAGGGAAATTTTATTCAGAATCACGTCTGCTATCCCCCATTTCACCTACACTAATTGTGAGACGCCCTGTACAACGAAATTTGTATCAAACAACAAATTAGAACTCTCCAAGCGAATCCCTTGTGAAGTCACAAAAAGATCTAAAATACTTTTGCAAGTCTGCAGAAGAGTATTAAAAAATATCTTTAAATATTCCAACAAGCATTGTTATTAAACAAATCTCTCGAATAAAGCTTGAACCTTGTTTTCCGTAAAGGATTGATTCAAAGCAACACTGTTGTGTTTTGTTTACGAAGTTCGCTGTTGTGAAAGGGTAGTTGTATACACTGAAAATCGATCGATTCGCCTGAAAATTTCTGAGAAGTTCCGACACGCGAAATCAAAACAGCGACAGACTGCATGTCAATGGAATATCCGGTATGATTTTTGAAAAAAGTTGAAATTTCTCCACGACGTCGAAACGCTTGATAATACACGCGGAACATAAATTTCACGAGAATGTGGGCTCCGTCGACGTTACGACGTGCACGTGAAGTTCTACGGAGCTGCTGAAACGATTATGAATTGCAGGTGAATTTAATTTGCCAGCACGTGATCGGATTTAACATTGAACTCTTGCTGGATGATTTATAAAGCTTTTTCGAATTGTGAAATTGTTTCCGTCAGAATAGCGAGATTATCGTTCATTGCTGTTTAAAATACCGTGCGTCATTTGCCGAAATTTTGTGCTTCGATATTCTGGCTTTTGTTATGATATTGTTATATTTATACGTGTATTAATATTAGAGTATGTGTACATATATGTACATGCATGTAATGTGATGTGTGTACTGTAGTATAATATAATGCAATCTTTTGTATTTGATTATATTACATCATATGTGTATTTTTATTTCACATAACGTAAGAATATGTGTACATATATGTATATCATGTATGTAATGTAACTATAATACGAACGTTAAAAGATAATGTTCAAAGTACTCCTCTTACTCCGTTCAATAAAAGGATCCTTTTCGTTTGTAATTTGCATTCATTGCATGGAATAATGAAATAATACGAGTGACTGAGAGACTAATTTACATAGCATCAGGTACACAGTAACAGACAAAATTGTGAACTGAAAGACAGATCAGTGGACTAATTAAAATCGGATGTTGCAGCTTACTATAAGTACTTTGAATCGTCCTATGAAAATGTAACAAATTTCACCTCTGTTCTGACGAGTATCGTATTATTTTGTTACTTTGAGTACTTTCATTACTTTCAAAGCATTTTATCGAGCTTAAATTATAATGTTATTTTAGTGAGATGATGTAAGTGATATAAATGATATAAAAAAGTGATATAAATCAGACGATTCATGTGATTCAAATTAATTGCTTGAATTATTTGAAGTAGTTCAACTAGTTGAACCCATCAATTCAGTCAATTCAGTCAAAATTGTCAAATCAGTCAAATCAATCAAACCTGTCAATTGAGTCCATTTAATCAAGTCAGTCAAGTCAGTCAAGTCAGTCAAGTCAGTCAAGTCAGTCAAATGAGTCAAATGAGTTAAACGAATCAAATGAGTCAAATGATTCAAGTGAGTCAAGTGAGTCAAGTGAGTCAAGTGAATCAAGTGTGTCAAGTGAGTCAAGTTTTACAAGTCAGTCAAGTCAATCAAATCAGTCAAATGAGTCAAACGAATCAAATGAGTCAAGTGATTCAAGTGATTCAAGTGAGTCAAGTGAATCAAGTGTGTCAAGTGAGTCAAGTGAGTCAAATGAGTCAAACGAATCAAATGAGTCAAATGATTCAAGTGATTCAAGTGAGTCAAGTGAATCAAGTGTGTCAAGTGAGTCAAATGTGTCAAGTGAGTCAAGTGAGTCAAGTGAGTCAAGTAAGCCAGCACAGTTAAGTCAATCAATTCAGTTAATTCAGTCAATTCAGTCAATTCAGTCAATTCAGTCAATTCAGTCAATTCAGTCAATTCAGTCAATTCAGTCAATTCAGTCAATTCAGTCCAATTAATAAAATCTATTAAATCCATCAATTCAGTCAAAGTCAAATAACTTAAATCAGTCAAATCCGCCAACTCAATCAATTCAGTCCCCTCAGTCAAATCAGTCAAATCACCCAAATTACACAAGCCACGTCAGCATCTCAAAACAGGGCCTATCACCCGTACAATAAAAATTTCAAACAACTACAAACAGTTAATCCGTCCAAATTAAACACCGTAATCCGTCCTACACCAGTTTCTTCCTTTCCAACAGCTCAAAGAAGTAAGAAAGGGTCAAAAAGAGAAAACTAGGCCAATTACCGTCAAATATTTGTACCCAAGCACGCTGAGTAGTCCTGCCAGAGCGCCGACGACCAAAGCGCCGACCGGTTGACACATCAAGCCTGTGTTTATTCAGAAAATGTCGTCCCAGTTAGGTACATCGCTCGAATTTCCAATGTAAATCTCCGATTAATTAGACGGTCTTGTTGTACCTGCCGCGGTGCCCACGGCCACGCCGCCGGCCAACGTCGAGTTCTGTATGTGCACCATGTTGAATTTGCTGTCCTTCGAGACCAGGGCGGAGGTCGCGAACGCGATCACACAGCTCGAACAGATCGACAGAAGGGTGTTTATAATGGCCCTTTGCTGATCGTCTCCTTCGAGGGCGGCGCTGTTGAACGACGGCCAGAACAGCCACAGAAACACCGTACCTATCGGCATCGAACCATCTCACCTCACCGTTAAGATACAACATCTTTCATTTTACCTTACTTGTATTTGCACTTAGTGCATGGAGTCTATTACGTGGAATCTGTGGACACTAGGGACTTTCAGTTAGTATTGGGGGACTTGGATCTGAGGAGGGATGGTGAGGTAGGGATGTGGGGATGTGGGGATATGTGGAGTTGGGATATATAGATTAGGGCATATGTGGAGTTGGGATATGTGGATTAGGGCATATGTAGAGTTGGGATATGTGGAATTGGGGTATGTGGATGTGGGGATATGTGGATTTGGGATATGTGGAATTGGGGATATGTAGAATTGGGTGTATGTGGATTTGGGGATATGTGGACTTTGGGATATGTGGAGTTGGGGATGTGTGGAATTGGAGATGTGTGGATTTAGGGATATGTGGAGTTGAGGATATGTGGATTTGGGGATGTGTGGAATTGGGGATGTGTGGATTTGGGGATGTGTGGATTTGAGGATTTGTGGAATTGGGGATGTGTGGAATTGGGGATATGTGGATTTGGGGATATGTGGAACTGGGGATATGTGGATTTGGGGACATGTGGAATTGGGGATGTGTGGAATTGGGGATGTGTGAAACTGGGAATATGTAGATTTAATGATATGTGGATGTGGGAATGTGTGGAATTGGAGATACGTGGATTTGGGGATATGTGGATGTGGGGATATGTGGATGTAGGGACATGTAACAGAACCATCTATTAAATGAACCATCGTCACCTCTTAGTATCACATCACCAAAGTTATTGTCTTACATAACAATAATAATAAAACGAACCAATCATCGCAAATATGTCAGAGTTGTAAGAAGGCCCTTCCAGATGATGTTCCTTCGGTTTCTCCTTCATCCCGAACACAAAACTGACAGCCAGACCAAAATACGCTCCAAAAGCATGTACGAACATGCTATCGCCGGCATCAACAGCCTATAAAATGGGAATAACGCCGGTTCAATTTCGCCTGTCAGCCGAGACAGGTTTAAATTTTTAATTTGATTCCGGACAACGAGAGAACAGAGTATCAGTAAAAGTTTAACGGTAGCTCGAATATCTTGTGTAGACCGTAAAGGGAAAGAGACGGAAAAAAAATTTCTCGCTCGAAGTTCACTTAGCTTTCAGCATCGATTACATGACAGCTGACTTTCGTTCGTTTCTTAAAATCGAACGCTAGAAATACCTTTCGTAACTTTTCTAATTACCAGACACTCGCTAATTCTATTCCGGTCCGTCGTTCGGTAACTTCAAACTTTCGCGGAACAGCTTTCAAAACTTCTGTTCCACGCAATTGGCAGCGTTACCGAAAATACCCAAGTTTTTGCTACGGTAGATAACGATTAAAGAGTCACACGGGAAATTATTCAAGCGATGCTTTACAATCTTTAGGGAATTTCAAAATAACAGTTCATGCAAATGGGTCTCTTCTAAAATATTTTTATAACATTGTTATTTCTCAGCTTTTGGTATTTTGTTATACTGGACAGAAGAGTATGCAGAATGGAAGCAGAATGCAAGGCAATATAACATGTGGCGATATAATGCGAGTGATGAGACGAGAACTATGAATAATATTTTTGTGGTACGAGTATAACGTGAAACAATCATGCGTTGCGAATGTGACATATGGGGAATGCTATGAGTGATAAACACAACGCGTGGTAGTACGATTGGTAATTGCAAGTCGTGATAAATACAACGCGTGGTAAATGCAATGTATAGTACATTCAACGCTTGGTGAGTGCAACGCGTAAGAAATCAATGCGTGGTGAATGTAACGCGTGGTAAATACAAGGCGTGGCAAGTACTATGCGTGGTAGGTGCAGCACGTGGTAAGCAACGCGTGATAAATTCAATGCGTGGTAAATACAACGCGTGGTAAATACAATGCGTGGTAAATACAACGCGTGGTAAATATAACGCTTGGTAGGTGCAGCACGTGGTAAGCAACGCGTGGTAAGTGCAGCACGTGGTAAATACAACGCGTGGTAAGTGCAGTACATGGTAAAGAACGCGTGGTAAATACAGTGCGTGGTAAATACCATGCGTGGTAGGTGCAGGAGACGGTAAACGACGCTTGGTAAGTGCATCACCCGTTAAACAACGCGTGGTACTATAACCTACAGTAACTATACCCCATAATAAACAACGCATGATAATTCAAGCCGTACTAAACACTCCAACTTCTCATATATCTCTCTCCGAATGCAACAGACTGTATCACCTTACATCTCTACCCGATACCCAAAATAAAATTGTAAAGTAGTTCGATTCAGAACGAAAGCAAATTGTATATTTACCTGCAGTACATGCTCGCCCACGTACTTGTTCACGGTGAACATGATCAGCTCCAGGATCCCCATGAACACGAGCTGAATGTAGGTCGTCTTACCAAGCATAGCACCCATGGATATCAACGGGGTGGCCACTGCAACGTCTGCGCTTAGAAGGCTGAAAGTGGTTGCACGTGGTTGATCGATATCCGCGTTATTAACCGGCAGGTAGTCGCTCGAAAACCTGCGGATCAGTATTCATAACATCCGCAAGAGCACCGTCGACTGATATGCAAACAGGCCGGATCACGGAACCGGAAGGGACGTTTCGATATCATCCTTTCCTCGTTCGTTCACGCGGTTTGTTTAACTTTCTCCGTCGATTCTCTTCTGCGTACTTATACAGGGTGCCTTTCTACTTTACGAAAATTTCGAACTTGTATTCGAGGATGAAGCTATCGGAAATTTTAGATAACATCTTGGTACTGGAGGATTTTTGTTACTTCGAAGCTTGGTATTTGCTGTTTTATATTATTTGCTTTGCTGTTTTATAATATTTTATCATGTGCAATTAGAGGGTAGACATAGTATGATATAAAATGGATATTAGGGGATTTTGAAAAATATTTCCACAGCTTGAGTGCAACGCGTAAGAAATCAATGCGTGGTGAATGTAACGCGTGGTAAATACAAGGCGTGGCAAGTACTATGCGTGGTAGGTGCAGCACGTGGTGAGCAACGCGTGATAAATTCAATGCGTGGTAAATACAACGCGTGGTAAATATAATGCGTGGTCAATACAACGCGTGGTAGGCGCAGCACGTGGTGAGTATCGTGTGGTAAATTCAATGCGTGGTAAATACAACGCTTGGTAAATACAATGCGTGGTAAAGAACGCGTGGTAAATACAATGCGTGGTAAATACAACGCGTGGTAAATATAA